CAGGGTGCCCTCTATGCCCTCGGCCAAGTCACTGATGAAGACATTGAAAAGCACCAGTCCAAGGACCGAGCCTTGCAGGGCTCCACTGCCCACATCTTTCCAGGTCGATATCAACCTGGCCACCACCACTCTCTGGGTGCAACCCCTGAGCCAATTTGCCACCCACCTGACTGTGTAATCATCTACATCAGAGCCTGTCAGTTTATTTATGAGAAAAGAATGAGATACCGTATCGAATGCCTTTTCAAAGTCAAGATAGATGACATCTACATGGACTCCTGCATCTAAGCATTTTGTGACCTAAAAGAAAAAAGCATTTTGTGGTCATAAAAAGAAACAAGGTTAGTCAGGCAGAATCTACCTGCAATGAATCTGTTCTGATGTCCTTTCAGTATTATTTCCCCTGCTGGGCTCCCACAAATGTTATCCTTAATGATTTTTTTCCACAGTTTTCCCAAGGATAGAAGTGAGGCTAACTGGCCTATAGTTTCCTGGTTCCTCCCTTCTCCTCTTCCTGAAAATAGAGACTACATAGGCCCTTTTCCAGTCCTCTGGGACCCGACCAGAGCACCATGAGTGCTCAAACAGCTGTGCCAGTGGCTTTGCTATGACACTGGCCAATTTTTTCAGCACCCTCGGACGAAGTTCATCCAGGCCCACTGATTTGAACACACCCAGCCCCTCCAAGTGCCCCTTCACTAAGTCTGCACTAACAGATGGTGGGCTGGTGTCCCTCCTGTGTCTATCTATGATCCAATTGGGAGATTTGTCTTGGTCTGTGTCTAGGAATACAGATGCAAAGACCTCACTGAAAAGATCAGCTTTTTCCCCCATCTCTGTCACCAATTGCCCTAGTTTGTCCTGTAGGGGTCCTATGCTACCCTGAGCCTTCCTTTGCTCCCCATATACCTGAAGAAGGAGTTTTTGTTGACCTTAATTTTTGCTGCCAGCCTAAGTTCTAATCCTGCTTTGGCCTTCCTAACTGATTCCCTGCAAGTGCGAGCCAGGGAGGTATACTCCTCCTTGGTAGCTACTCTCTGTTTCCACAGCCTGTATACCTCTTTCTTTGCCCTTAGGTTTTCCTGGACTTCCCTGTTCAGCCAAGGGGGCTTCTTGGCCTATTTGCCCCCTTTTATGCACAATGGGATTGTCTCCTTTTGTGCTCATAGGATCGCTCCCTTGAGGAATGACCACCCTTCCTGGACCCCCATTTCGCCAATGCTCTTGAGCTTTAACACCTCACTAACAAATCTCCTGAGCACACTGAAGTTAGCCTTTCTGAAGTCTAGCGCTTCAGCCCTGCTGGTTAGTTTACCCATCCTTTGCTGGATGGTGAATTCAGTCAATTGATGGTCACTGTCCCTTAGGTTACCTTGTACCTGTACATTCCCCACTAGGTCATCCCATGTAGCTAACATAAAGTCCAGGAAGGCATTTCCGCTAGGGAGATCGTATACCTCCTGTGTTAGGTGGAGGTCCTGTTTGCAGGTTAAGAACCTACGTCGTGAGCAGTTAGATTTGGCTGACTGCTCCTCCCAGCAGATGTCTGGGTAGTTTAGGTCACCCATGACAACCATATCTCTCGACCGTATGGCCTTTGAGAGCTGTCTGGAGAATTTCTGGTCTACTTATCCTCCTGGTGTGGCAGACTATTGCAGACCCCCGCTACCAAGTCCCTTTCCCCACTCTACCCCCTTGTATCCTGACCCACAGTACCTTAGTTTGGCCCTCCTCTGATCCCATCTTGATTATAGAGGATGTATATTGTTCCTTAACATAGAGAGCAACCCCCACCCCCTTTTTTCCCCCACCCTATCCCATCTGTACAACCTGTAACCCTGAATGCCTACTGCCCAGTAGTGAGTAGGGTCCCACCAGGTTTCATTTAGTCCAACCAAGTTGAAGTTGTTGCTTGCAAGCAGGAGTGCAAGTTCCTCCTGCTTGTTCCCCATTAGTGTATTACTGCAGAGACATTTAAGGCCCCTGATGGGTGCCCTTGGTACTCCCCTGTCCTGATGTCTATCAGGCCCCTTAGTGCTTACCTGGGCTGATCCAGTTCATTGCTCGTGACTCACTGATCCTAGGTTGCCATATCCTCTGCTTCCCCATCCCCTAACGAACCTAGTTTAGAGCCTTTCGGAGGAGATCAGCCAACCTGTAAGAGAACAGACTCTTACCTTTAGAAGAGAGACGAAGAGCATCTTGTCCCAGGATGCCTCTCTCATGGAAGCGCGGATCGTGGTTGTAGAAGCCAAAACCAGCATTATGACACCAACTCTGGAGCCGCAGGTTGACTTCCCTGATGCAGGTGTCCTGATGCTGACAGTGACGGCTGACTGGAAGGATGGACGAGAAGACCACCTGTGCCCCCGACTTCCTAAGCCTGGTCCCCAGAGCCCTGTAGTCACTCAAGACACGGTCTGGATTACTCCTGGCTGCATCATTCGTGCCCACATTGACGAGGACCATGGGATAGTAATCAGAGGGCTGGATGAGGTCGGGAATCCTCACAGTGATGTCCCAGATCCTGGCTCCAGGTAGGCAGCAAACCTCTCATGCCAGATAGGCCCCTCTGTGCCTCTTAGGAGGGAGTCACCCACCACGATGACCCAGCATCTCTCCCTCTGGTTGCTCGGTTGTCGCTCAGTGACCCTGGTGTTCATTGTGGATGTGTCTTCCCCTGCAGCTTCCTCTGCTGCATCATCCTCCAGTGCAGCCAGGGCTTTGTATCTGTTCCCCAGTTGCATTAGAGAAGTAGTCACAGCCGCACACTCTCTAGCTCTGCAGGTGACGGTCCTGCGCTAGGTGTCAGGTCCTGCAGAGAATGAAAGTATCCATCGGTCTCATCCTCTGCAGCCCTGATCCCCCGCAGCCTGCTCACCTCTGCCTGGAGTTCCCTCACCTGCCCCTCCAGGGCCTCAATCTGGGCACGTGTGGGACAGGCAAGGAAACCCCTGGCCCCCACACTACCCACAGGCCTCAGGGGTCCCACCAGGCAACCCCACAGACAGGGGGCTAGGGCACTGCCAACCGAGCCAAGGGGCACTGCTGACCCACCCTCATAGTAGCCCCACTCCTCATTCACTTACCTGAAGTCTCTGTCAGAAGCTCCCGTGTACTCCTACCTGGTGTGTACTCCTACCCACGAACTAGCCTGTGAACTTCTCCCCTGTTAGCAGTCCCTGGTCACAGGCTCCCTGGTCGCTTGGGAAGTCTCCTTGTATACCCTTCTGGGTGGGCCTGGGCTGACTCAGGCCCAGGCAGCAATCCCACAGCAATCAATAATTAACACTCAGCAGTCAGGACTCACTCCCAGCTTCTCCGAGCACACACCCACCAAGCAAACAGACAGTCAGCTAAACCAAACGTACAGGCAGCTGGACCACTCACCTTTCCTGGGCAGGATCTGGTGCCTGGCATGGCTTCTCTCCTCCTTCTTCCTCCCTCCTCTTGTCTCCAGCAACTGCCTGCAAACTACTCCCCTGTTGGCAGTCCCTGTTTGCTGGCTCCCTGGTTGCCTGGGGAGTCTGCCCACCAGGTGATAAAACACCTTTTCTAGGTAGGGCAGTTGTCTGTCATGCCACACATTAAGTCATCTTTGGGCACATCCCTGCTTGTGCCAATACAGCATCCAGCATTTTTACACATTAAATAAAATAGCTTTGAAAGAAGGTTGAAGACATGGTGAGGGAAATAAAAGATAACCCCTTAATGTTCCTGTTGAGCCTTCCTGAGAACTCTGCAATGTATAGGTGACATAGGGCACATCTACATATCACCATATGGCGATGTTGCTACAGTGTCATGCTTTAGCACTTCCTTTGCTTTAGTACTTCCTTTTGGAAGTACTAAAGCACAGCGCAATAGGGCGGTTGCTGTGCCGTTAGATTTCTCTGCTATGTTGCTGTAGCGGCGCACTGTAATTGGGGAGCACACCATTACAGCGACATAGCTGGTGATCACGTGTAGACCCGTGTGATTGCTATGTCACCATAGCGCACCATATGGTGATGTAATGCATGGCTACATCACCATAGGGTGACATGTAGATGCATCCATAGGCAATTAATCACTCATCTTCTAGTGGTTGCAAGAATTACAATCGCAAAAACCTGGAAAATAAGTGATACCGCCGACAATCACTGACTGGTTTAAAAAAGTTTGCAAAGTTTTTGTAATGGAAACATTGTCCTATTAAGTCAGTGTTCTACAGGGGAGGGGGGCAACATGATGCTTAGTTGGAAATTTGATGGACATTTTTGGAAATTGCTAAAAAAAAGAATCTTCGCCTTCATCCAAACCAGCAAATTTGAAAACCCTTTTTGAATATTGACGTGTAAGTTCTATGAGCTGACAAGATTCCTTGGGTGAATTTGATATCTTTTATTAGACCAACCCAAATGGTTGGAGAATAGTAATTAAGCAAGCTTTCGGGTTCAAAAACCCTTCGTCAGGCTAAGGAAGCTTCAGCAGTCGGTGTGTGCTCTTCCTGGACACTTAAGAATAAATTTAGAATAAAAGTTAAAAGATGAGTAGAACATAATGAGAACTGAATTGTGCAGAACAGTAGGGAAAAGGAGGGGATGAATTATTGTGTGGAGATGAGGAGACGTGGGCGCTTAACATCAGTGGAGATATGTGTTTGGTGTTGCAGACTGAGCGGGGGAGAGGTAGGGAGCATGGGACTTTTGCGGACACTGATTTGGGTTGTAGTAGCACTGTTGATAGGGGATGAACCTCTGTCTTTGTGTAAGTTTTGGGGGATTGGGTGTATCTTTAGATGTTGAACTTGTTTGCTGGGTTGCATTAATTAATAAAGACTCTTTTTAAAGGATATAATAGGACTCAGAGATAACATGTACTGTCACAGATCGAGTCATTCATTTTGGTTAAATACTTTTCTCCTCTCTGCAGTAAATATAGAGGTGGGCATGTCTTTTAGTGTTGTAGGCTGCTATAATTCATCCAGCTACATAGAGTGTGGTTTTTCACCTCTGCAGGTCTTAGAGATTCTGTGGACACCAGGGATTTTGCTATACAGATCCTGCTTGAGAAAGATGACCCAACAGCAGAAATAGATGTAACACAAGACAAAGATGATCCTAAGGTAGCATCCAACAGAGCATGCCTTTGTGGCCATCTGGGAGAGATACTACATCACAAACAGGTATGTGCTTATTCACTTATGGCTGAAATTCAGGCAAGAGACATAGGTTTAAGTGTGTTCTTGAAGCTTATGTTTTTGGCATGCTTCCTGGGATGGTCACCTTTCAAACTGAAGCTTTTTACCCTTGGGGTAATTCTGTTTTCTTTTAAAATGTTAGCAAAAGAACTCCAGCCATTTTCTACACTGAAAAGAGGGTGTGTATTTGTGTGTCTGTGCAGGGTGGGGGAACACAACTTTTTGCAAAAGAGACTCTGTATTTCTGCTGTGGAACAATGACCAGCCTGGCGCAGGGACCTCCTGGAGAACCGTGCTTACTGGAGCCTGGCAGGCTTTCTGTTCAGTCACCGAACCTTGGGAAAAGTGGTCATGGAAGGGCCCAACTATCTCCCTTGCTTATTTTCCATGTTAAATGTAGGTACAGAAACTTTCCCTCCATGCCCTCCTGTTATTCCTGAGTTTCATTCATGTAGGTAGGTAGTTTCTCAGTATAGCCTGTGCTAATTATGTTCTTTGCCCCTTGGAGTTAATCAGCACTGAGGGCCTTGAGGGTCATTCCTGTTAGGACCAAAAACTGATGATGCAAGTCAGGTCTCTGACGTAATCCTATTCATTTCCAAAGAATGGCCCCCTGGCCTGGTGCCCCTGGCTGCTGCAGAAGCAAGCAGCAAACAGTCTCCCTATTCCCTTTTCTTCTCAGGGTCATGCTCACATATGGCAGTTTGAAGTAAGCAAGCTTCCTGGCCCCCGTGTTAGCGATCAGAGACTCATTCGATCACGCAGCTCAGTTCTGCTCCGGTCTTGCAGCGCAGCCAAGTGTTTCCAGCCGTCTCACTGCAGAGGGGCTGGCCTGCTCCTTGTGCTGAAGACTGCTGCTGAATCAGGACTCCATTTTGCCCCCAAATGGCCTATTAACTATCCACGGAGTCAAACACATCTGGTGTCCAAGAGGGTAACTTTCCCAGTAATTGTAAGGGACATGCTTCTGAAGGAAAGCCTGTTATAAGCAAAAGAGATCACAGAATTTGGCTCTAGTACCCAATGGCGCTTCCTTGTTAGAGCAAAATGTTAGCTATAGGACTTTATCCTGCTCAGGGTAGGTGCCAAGACTAGGCAAAGAAGTACAAAGCAGAGTGCTAGCAGCACAGGAAGTGAAGGTGAACCTGAAGTAACAAGTTATTCCTACCTAGTAGGAGGAGTAAGCTAAAGAGAACAGTGCGTACTCAGCACCCCATCGTCTAGCCAAGGAATCACGTATATCTTTGATTCCTCTCAGACGTGCCAGTTTTCCACCCACGGATCTTTTCTGGCCTCTGCTCTGTACCTTAAGGG